AATCCTCCTCTTTTTGCTGAGGAAGACTGGCCCTGGGCTAACATCCATGCCCATCTTCCTCTACTTTATGTGTGACCCTGCCACAGCATGACCTGATGAGCGGTGCGTCGGTGCGCTCCCGGGATCTGAACCCGGCCACCAGCAGCAGAGTGCACGCACTTAACCGCTATGCCACGGGGCTGGCCCCTGAAGTAGCTTTCTTATTTGATTCTTTTGCATGTGGATATCTAGCTATCCCAGCATTATGTGTTGAAGAGACAATAGTTATGGCATGCTTGTTGACAGTCTGTTGATCCTAGATGTACGGGTTTATTTCTAGATGCTCAGTTCTAGTCCATTCGTGTATATGTCTGTCCTGTTCCACATGTTTAATATTGTACTTTTCAGCTCCAGAATTTTATTTGGTTCTTTTTGTACTTTCTATCTTTTTTATTGATAATCTCTCTTTGGTGAGACATCATTCTCCTGGTTTCGTTTAGTTCTTTGTCCATGGTTTCCATGAGCTCTTTGGGTGTGTTTAAACAAATTGTTTTAAGTCTTTATCTAGTAAGTCCAATGCCTTGGCTTTCAGGGACAGTTTCTATTAATTTTTTTCCTTGTTCCTTAGAGTTTTATTTTAAAATGTAAATTTTAGATATAATAATGTGGCAATAGTAAAATCTGATTCTCCTCTCTCCCTGGGCTTTGCTGTTGCTCCCTGTCATGGATTGCTGATGTCTGTTGAGTGACTTTTGTCAATTATTTTTGTATATTCTGCATTCTTTTTAGTGTAGCCCCTGAAATCTGTGTTTTGTTAGCTTGGTGGTCACCTTTGAGTGACAGAAATTCCTTCAATGTCTGGAGCCAAGGAAAGAAAATAAAATACTCTCTTTTAGTATTTGTCAGTTGGCTGTGGACTGGGCTACTCCTTCAGTGCTTAGCCAGGCTGTTTACAACTTTTTCTTTTTTTTATTTTTTATATAATTTTATCTTTTTTTAAATTTAATTTGATTAATTAATTTATTTTTTTGTGAGGAAGGTCAGCCCTATGCTAACATCTGCCAATCCTCCTCTTTTTGCTGAGGAAGACTGGCCCTGGGCTAACATCCGTGCCCATCTTCCTCCACTTTATGTGGGACGCCGCCACAGTATGGCTTGACAAGCGGTGCGTTGGTGCATGCCCGGGATCCAAACCTGCGAACCCCGGACTGCTGCAGCAGAGCGCACGCACTTAACCGCTTGCACCACTGGGCTGGCCCCTACAACTTTTTCTTAGCCTTTCTTTCCTGCTTGAGTGGATGCTGAAGGAAAACTGGGCAGATGAAAGCTTTCGGTCCTCTGGCCTGTCTGAGCATGCTTGTGGACTTCTTGATTCCCCGGTCAGTGCTTGAGTTTTTAAAAGCCCTTATTCGGGGCTGGCCTCATGGTGTAGCGGTTAAGTGCGCTCACTCCACTGCTGGCGGCCTGGGTTCGGATCCTGGGTGCGCACCGATGCACCAACGCACCGCTTGTCAAGCCATGCTGTGGTGGCATCCCCATATAAAGTGAAGGAAGATGGGCACGGATGTTAGCCCAGGGCCAGTCTTCCTCAGCAAAAAGAGGAGGATTGGCATGAATGTTAGCTCAGGGCTGATATTCCTTACACACAAAAAAATAAAAAAAAATAAAAGCCCTTATTCACTTGCATATAACATTCCCCACTTGTTCCTTCCAAGACTTTTCAGTCTGTCTACTGTTTGTCGCAACCATTTTCCCCCTTCCTCAGGCTGCTGTGGCCAATACTTCCCCTGTATATGCTTTCAGCAGATGCTACCTGGGGTGCTGCCTCACTCCTGGGAACTCTGAGTTGGTGAAATTAAGGGAAGCCCTTGCACTGATACTTGAGGAAGCTGCCAGGCAGATCGAAACACACAATGGGCAGTTCTTTGAGAACAAGGTCCATATTGCTCCTTCTGACACTAGCAATTTGCTCAAGTAGTACATCCTGCCATCTCTCGTGGCTGCAGCTGATCTGGAAAGTGTGGATGGTAGGCAGAAAGTTAAAATGCCACAGCACTCTCTTGGTGAAATACAGCCTCTTCTTTCTTCCTTAAGTGTTCCCTTGGTTGTACGTTTTTGACTAGATTCCAAATTCTGCAAGAGTTGATTCTGATAGTTTTTGTAAGCTTATTAGTTGTTTTCTGGTGTGCAAGAGCACTAGAGTCCCCTATCTACCATATCTTGTGATGTCATTCTCTGTGCCATATGCTTTGAAACAATTTTATCTCCAAATTTTCCCCCAAACTCAAATTTTTCCACTTTATTTCAGAATTGGATTTGCAAGTGAAAACCAAAGTTTCCACACCCCTTCAAGATATTTCTGTGGAAAAAACGTCAAATGGAATGCAATTGGTAAGATCTCCAAGAAGCAATTTTGTTCCTCCACATCAGGACTAGAAACCTAAAATCCATGAGAATTATATGAGATAAATGCTATGTACCTACAGCAGAAAGCAGAGTCTATGAAGAGATTCTGAATATCAAGAAGTTGAGGAGTATTCTAAACTTACTTCAAACCTGTTTCTCCTCAGAGATCTCGCAAATGAATGTCCACACATGTGTAACTCTGATATTCAGTTTTTGAAACACAATTTAGTCTAAATGATTATCAGAAAAAAATCTCTTAAGATGCTTTGTAAGGGTGGAGAATATAGTACAGGGTCCTGGCCTTATAGCCAGCTTATTCAACTCAAAATTCAACTCAAAAACAGGGCAGAAACTCTGTACACTTAATGGAAATGGAAAAAAATTCAGTTATGGTAATGTTTCTAATGCGTAACAGTTGTGATGGGGGGAAATTCTATTTTTATAATGAATGTGAAAAAGTCTTTAATTAGCATTTATATCTTAACAGGAGAGAAGCAGTTCTGGAGTGGAACAATATGGCTCTAACCTGTGTGGAAAAATATTTGGTGAACACTCGTTTCTTATGGTTCACCTTAGACAGAAAACTTCTAAGGATAATCAGAATAGAAAAGCCTTCAAAAAAAACTTTATTCCTACTTTGTTCAAGGAAATCCATGTTGGGGAGAGACCTTCTGAGTGTGTTCAAGATGAAAAAGCCTCCGGTCAGCTTTCAGATCTTACTGGGCACAAGAAAACTCAGACACCAGGGAAACTTTGTGAACGCAAAGATTGTCGGAGAACTTTTGTTGATCAGTCATCCCTTAAGGTACATACAAGCCACCACACTGGCGAAAAACCATATGAATGTAAAGAATGTGGGAAAGCCTTCACTCATTCCTCATACCTTGCAGACCATATAAGAATTCACAGTGGAAACAAGCCCTATGTATGTATGGAATGTGGGAAAGCCTTTACTCGATCCACAGGACTTATTTTACACATACGAATTCACACTGGAGAAAAACCTTACGAATGTAAGGAATGTGGAAAAGCCTTTATTCATTCTTCTTATCTTACAAAACACATAAGAATTCACAGTGGAGAGAAGCCATATCTCTGTAAGGAGTGTGGGAAAAGTTTTACTCGTTCCTCAGGGCTTGTCTTACACATGCGAACACACACTGGAGAAAAACCCTACATCTGTAAGGAATGTGGGAAAGCCTTTAATAATTCTTCAATGCTTAATCAACACCTAAGAACACATACTGGAGAGAAGCCATATGAATGCAAGCAATGTGGGAAAGCCTTCACTCAGTCTTCAGGCCTTACTACACATTTAAGAACTCACACTGGAGAAAAGGCGTATGAATGTAAAGAATGTGGGAAAGCCTTTGCCCGTTCCACAAACCTTAATATGCACATGCGAACGCACACTGGAGAAAAGCCGTATAAATGTCAAGAATGTGGGAAAACCTTTAGATACTCCACATGCCTTAATATTCACATGAGAACTCACACTGGAGAGAAACCATACAAATGTAAGGAATGTGAGAAAACTTTCACTCAATCTTCAGCACTTGCTAAACATCTGAGAACTAAGGCATGTGAAAAAAACCTGTAAATGATCTCAGACCTTAGTATTCACATCTAAACTCATCTGGATAAAGACCTTATGAAATTAAAGAATGTGAGAAGGCTTTACTCAATTTTCATCCTTACATGATATGTGAGAACGTACCCCAGGGGAGAATTCGCATTTGTATAAGGTATATGGGAGAGCAGTAATTGTTCATAGCTTACAGAATGTGTAAGAACTCACACTTGAGAGAAAAACCTTCTGGTTGTAAGGCATGTGGGTAAGCCTTTTTGTTTTTGTTGTCCTAAGTTTGATTTTATGCATCTGAAGTTACTGCAAAAGCCATGTGAAGGTAAGAATGAGATACAGCCTTAAAATATTTCACATGTTTTAATAGCACATGATAACTTACACTGGGGAAAAACCATCTGTATGTAGGGAATGTGGTAAAATCTTTACTTATTGTTGAGGGCTTACTATCCACATAAGACATTGTACTGGCATAAAACTCTATGAATGTAAAGGATATAGGAAGACCTATACTTGCTTCTCCTATCTTATAAGAACTTAACATTTAAGAACTCACAGTGGAGAGATGCTCTATAGATATAAGAAATCTGAGAAAGCCTTCAGAGATTCCTGACAGCTTTGTCTGCAAGAAGACTCACGAATGTAAGAAATGGTAAAAAGTGGTCAGGTGTTAATAAGCCATGCAGTGGAGAGAAACCCTAGGAAGGTAAGGTATGTGGGAAAGCTTTACTTCCGGCTCATCCATTAATATTTTTTGATAATCTCACAGAGGCAAAAAATTATGAATGTTAGAAATATGAGAATACCTTGTATGTATGTGTGTGTGTGCACATGTGTGTGTATTTTGGTTTTCAACCTTTAGTAAAAATGATACTTCACACTGGAGAGAAATTGTGATTGTAGGGTCCATGGGAAATGGTGTACCCATTTTACAAATCTTACTCTACATGTGAAAACCCACCCTGGAAAGAAGCCATATGAATGTAAAAATGCAGGAATGATTTTTGGTAAATATACATCCCTTCAGAGACTCATAAAATACGCACTGGAGGGCTAAACTATGAATGTGAGGAATTTTGGAAAGCTTTCAGGAACTTTCTTCGTTTATTGTATCCAAGAGAATCCATACTAGAGGAGAAATTTAAATAAATGACATGAAAATGAGATTACCCTTCTGTGTGTCTTATTCTCATGAAAGTGCCTGACTCCTGAATTTTTTTTTTTTTTGTGAGGAAGATCAGCCCTGTGCTAACATGTGCCAATCCTCCTCTTTTTCCTGAGGAAGACTGGCCCTGGGCTAACATCTGTGTCCATCTTCCTCCACTTTATATGGGAAGCCTCCACAGCATGGCTTGCCAAGTGGTGCGTCAGTGCACGCCCAGGATCCAAACTGGCAAACCGTGGGCCGCCGCAGCGGAGCACGAGCACTTAACTGCTTGCACCACTGGGCCAGCCCCTGACTCCTGAATTTTATGTGGTGGTTTTGTTGTCATAAAGTTTCATTGCTTTTCCAGTGACTGTAAGTAGAATTTCTGCTATGTTATACTCATTTCATATAATGGTGTTTTCATCATGGCTCAGCTCTGAAGACTTCCTCATCTACATTATAATGTCTTCACTGAGTTATGAGATATTTGGAAGTTTGGTCAGCAAGGTGAGGGCATTTTATAATGATTTTTGGGTACTGCTTTCTAATGTATTTGCAAGTGGGTTGTAAAATGGACTCTTTATGATATTCTTTTGTGTTATTTATAGGAAATTCTCTCTGGCCTTGTATGGCAAGTAGTATCTAGCTGTCTCTTCAATATTCCTTGTCCTCTGGTCCCTTATAAATAGAATCCAGACTATCTTCAAGCAGGTAGTTAAAAAACATTCCATTTATCAGTTTTCCTTGGACTTATGGGAGAGTATATTCATAGTCCTGGCTAATAAGAAGTAGGCGGAAGTCATTGATGTGGATTCAGAGAAGGCTGTTAAAAAGGAGACAGTCTCTTATGGCCTTTTCTCTAATTATTGCCCTTCATCCTTCCCCCTTCCTTCCTGGAAATCAGATATATTCCTGGAATTTGGATGATTAAATTCTGTGCTATGAGGACAAAGGCCACAGACAAATATGGTTTGGCTAAAAAACACAGGGACAGTGTCCCCCGTGGTCTCTTTGCACCAGCCATTAGACTGCTTGTTTGAAGACTTCTTGGTTCATGAGAAAAATCATCTCCTTGTCAGGCTGAGCACTTAACGTTTGATGTCATCAGGGTATAGATGGCACTTAATGCCATTCTACTAGATGATTTCACCAGAGGATTGGCAAGCCCTAGGACTCCTCTAGCTTTAGCAGTTGGGGTCATGGGAGGAAGTAGCAAATATATTGAGAATTAATGACCCAGGAAATAGATGGTGCTCCTTAAATGGAACAATTCTTCTCTTACTCTGGTGGATAAACAAGTCTGAGGTAAATAAGGTCCTTCGTTGACAGGCCATCAGAAGCGTCATTGACTCTCTGTCTCCTGAGCATTTCAACCCTCGGCAGACACTCACTCATTTGATTCCATATTTGGATAGACCCTTCCCACTGGTCAGTAGCTAGGTGTAGCCTGCCCCAGGCCCCTCCTCAAAAACCATGGCTTCCGAAAAGTTTAAATGCTACTTTAAGTGCACATCTCTCTGTTGCTTGCTTTTACTGTTAAAATTCACTCCCAGATGTAGTAGGATAGAAAGGATCCCATCCACGGAGACCACGGCTCAATGTTTAATGAAGAAGGAACATTTTCTTCTTGCTTCCCCTAAGACACATGGTGGGGTTCTCAGCTCACGTGAGGTTGTAAATCTCCAGGTCAGTGTACTTGGGCTCTCTTGAGTGCTGCTATCAGCATGCT